TCTCAACCTTGTTCCATTTTGGCCCTCCAACTCTATTTCTTATGTTTCATTTTAACACAAAAATTTTTATCCGACGTAAAAAAAAAAATTTACTTCTTATTTTTGTTTTGTAATTTCAAATTTTTGTTTTTTTCATTTTTCTGCACCACCTCCCCCGGGGAAAAAAATATTTTTTTATATATATTTTCAATTTTAGTTTTTTCATCTTTCGATTTACAGGTTCGAAATTTTACAAGTTTCAAAATTATGAGTTCGGAACTTTATGTGTTTGGAAGTTTACGGGTTTAGAAATTATAAAGTTTACGGGTTCGAAAGTTCGCAGTTTCGAAAGTTTAGCGGTTCAGAAGTTTATAAAATTTGTGGGTATTTCAGGATATGCATGCACACACGTTTCACAAAATATAAAATTTATTTCAAAATATTTTATTTTTTAATTTTTTTTTACAAAACCGACCAACTTCGGTCTTTTTTTTGCGCAAAAATGCAAGAAACTCTTTTAGTGTCCCGCAAAATTTATTTTTTAAGAAACCGACTGAAATCGGTTGGTTTTCATATAAATAGTATATGGGGAAGGAAATAATGAAGATGAAATATGGGAGAAGGAAGTTGGGGGATTAAAAATGGGGCAAATAGTTATTTTATTACTGTTGGAGAAGGAATTTTGCCATAAACAATCTGCCTCACGCGCCTACCATGTGAGCCAATTCACACTATGTGACTAATCAGCTTTTGTGTTAAAATGAAACATAAGAAATAGAGTTCGAGGACCAAAATGGAACAAAGTTGAGATAGATTGCCAAAATAAAAAATGGAGCCAAGTTCAATAGGTTGTATATGTATTTGGCATTTATATGTATGTATATAGATATGTATGTATATGTATATAGATATGTATGTATGTATTACCCCTTCTTGATTTGATACATGTATGCATTGACGGTGTAAATATTTTTTAAATTATCCATATAATTTAACTTGTTATAGCAAGTAAATTTACCATTATATTCATGTTAACATGTAATTGCTTTTTAAGTGATTTTATATAAATAATTTTTAGAGTAGAAGTTAAAACTCGCTAAACCTTTAAGACAAGCAAAAGCATAAAATGGAAATGGGAATAAAAGCTGATTTATAGAGTACATTTTAAATTTGATATTATAGTGTCCAAAATGGCAATTATATCATCAGTCTTTATATATTAAACGATTTATAGATTGATCTATATATGCGTATATATTAAGCAAAACTTTATTTAATACATCGTATCCCAGATTTGTTAATAACAAAATGAAATCAAATGAGCTACATTCATTTGAGAGTTAACAAATTTAACTTGGTTCATTAATTACCATTTACCGGCATCTTTCATGTTGTAGCTTCTATTTGTTAATTTCAGTATACATCTAGATTACGTTTATAGTTTATACATAGTACCAAAATGGAAAAAACTTGTTAAACCTTGTGTTTATACTAAGATAGTAAATGCATGAGATCATTTTTACATTACCTTTTAAATATTTAACAATTACTGTAGTAGTAACATTTACTATCACTTTAATCGTGACCATTGCCCTATAAAGTACAAGTATTTTCCATAATTAAATCGTGAAATATATTTGAACCTTTATAGAAAGTTATGTATTTTTTTCCGAACTGAAAATTATTTATTCATAAAGAAAAAAGGTCGACATAAACAAGAAATCTGGTAATCCTTCTTTATTTGTACTTAATTTCACTAGTTGGACCATGGATGTGTCAAAAAGCACAAGCTTTTAATTTTCATTTCTAACATCTATCGAAAACAACCTCTATGCCCTCCCAATATAGGGTTAAGTTATACGTACATACTCCTCCTCCACAGACCCCACTTGTGTGAATTCACTGGTCTAGACTTATACAGACCCCACTTGTGTGAATTCACTGGTCTAGACTTATGCAATCGACTAGGAGTACTACATCTTTCACAACAATAAATAAAGATTCTGGCGGGGAAAAGAAAAGTCTACAAAAATACATATTTCTCCTTTCTTTTATATATTAACCGAAATTAGATTCATTTGTTGTTGAGTAGAATTCCTGTGTTTCTTCTCCTTATCATTACTCTTTCTAAAGTGCAAAATACTCGGCTATGCTAAGCTATAAAGGCATACAAGTAAACTACAAATTTAACATTCTTTTTTAAAACGTTAGTAACAAATAGCAATTGCGATACGCAATTCTAATTTAACTTCTACACTAATAAAGAATCAGGTCTACATATCTAAAAAGAGACAAATGAAAGAAAAACAAAGTATACAGAGAGAGGCAAATCCTCAAGTAACAATAATATTACAGTAAACTGATCTGGTAGCTGGAATTTTTAACTTAAACATCTTTTAAGGTAAGCTGACGATGATGTTCAAAGCATCATTTAAACTAGAAGGCACCATTTATGCCAATAATCAAGCAGCTAACACATATTCTAATAATGCAACGGAGACATGTTACTTTTTTGGAGCCACAGATTCAATGTGAGATAACATTTCTTGGAGCCATAGATTGAATGTGACATATGTGCAACTTTATTTTGCTCGAAAGATGAGATCTTTCACAGCTGTCTTCCAGAGAAACAGCATTTACAATTATAGAAGTTTAAAACCAACTGAGCACTCGAACATTGCAATGGCAGATAATTCAGGTAAAAAGGATCTTGATTAAGAAACTAGTCACGTCGACATAGAAGATGGTGGGAGACAGCTGACAAGTCAATCAGCTCCGGGCGAAGCCAATACGACCAGCATGATCTATATAGTTGCCCAGACACAAAATCAATTTACTTAATACAACATTGTCAGTGTCAATTACCTGCAATTTTCAGCAGCAATGACCAAGTATTTCGTATCACCCTTGACTACAGACATAAGTAACAGCTAACAGAGGAAAATCAATTACTTTAAATCTTTAATAGCATATTCTATACATCTCAAGTAACTCCTCTTACACTCTTAGGGGTCGCTTGGTACGCGGGATAAGGTGATAAGGTAGGATAAAGTGTGGTACTAAATTAATAATATGTTTGGTTGACGGTATAAATTTATCCCGCGATAAATTTATACCGTCAACCAAACGCTTAATACTGGATATCCCATCTTATCACATCAAACTTGGTATTATTTTATCCCACCTCCCAAGTGAGATAAATTATTCTAGGGATTATAATCCCGGGATATTTTAGTCCGCGTACCAAACAAGCCCTTAAGGCCAAGCATGGTTTCTCCTCGTGCTTGCTGGTTACTTTAGCAATCAATGCAGCGAAAGAATCAATACCGGTATAATCATCCAGTACATCAACATTCATAAATAAGAAGATATTCAAACTGTAAATCCATTACTCAACTGTCAAAACCAATCCAAGTATACTTTAAGAAGACTAGCTGCCAACATGTTTTTATATATTCGAAGTAAAGGAATACATAGATTCAACCAATGGACAGACATCTACTTCTCTTAGTCAGCCACAAATAAATGAAATCTTTCCCAGTCTACTTTCTACTATCCAAAACATTTCTAAATGAACAAAATGGTCAGCAGTTAATTTCAACTATGTGCATTAAATTTTCATATTAACATAGCCACCAAGTTCACTATTTAATCTGCAAGGGGAAAATCAAGCAAACACGTAAGAGGAATTCATCTTACTTCAGTTTCAAACTCCATTCACTTATGTAGATGCTGCATACTTCCTTTTACGTTTTGAGGTACAAGATGCTTTTCGTGGTGATGGCGAATATTGTAGGCGGTAACTGATGAGTGATGGACCAAAAATACTAAATTTCCCTGACTTGCTAAAAGCAGTTTCAGCATCAGTGCGCCTCTTGAAAACAACTTTCCCTCGTTTGCTCTTGTCAATAACTTCAGTCTCAGATTCACAAAGTGGACCATACTGACTAAATATTCTGTTTAGATCTGCTATGGGAGGAATTGATTCTAGATCTGAAAAGTTAAGAACCAATGCAGTTGGCGAGTACTCAGAATTTCCATGCACAAGAACAGAGAGATTTTCTCTTTCCGAATTCTCAGCCGAGCCCAGGCCAGGAGAAGTAACCCATTTACCATTAGGAAAATCCTCTTGATTTTGGACCTCAAATAACACCTGATCCTCAGGGTTGCATTGAATAATCCTATCAGTCCAATAGGAGTCTTCAATACCTTGTAGTGACAATGTTTCAGGAGAAGCTGAGTTGGATGATTTTTTCTCTATATCCTTTTCTGCCATCTTTGTGAGGTCTCCTGACTCAGTAGTTTCCAAGCTAGTCATATTTCTGTAATCACAGAACAGACCAGCTACTGATAACAAAATACTATACCCATTCATGGGATCCCTGGCAGCCAAATAGAGCTTTGAGAGCAGCTCTGTTGGAGGAGGGAACTCTTTTGGAATCAACTGTTCTTCAGGTTTCACGGGACCAGCTACTGAATCTCCAAAACCAACATTTCTCGACTTTTCACTACGCTTTCCAATTCTTCTTTGGGAACTTCTGTCAGTAGACTTGAGAATTTGGTCTGCAGCTTTAGGTGGTGAAGACATCTTATTACCATTGCTTTGTGACACTACCTTTTTCCTTCTTTTTGCCTTGGAATCACTAGGCATAGAGTCAAGACGTCTCTTCTCAGAAGACATAGACTTCCTCTCCCGCCCAGCTCTCCCTCTAGATTTCGTCTGATCATTTGGTATGCTTGAACTGCTCCCATAAATCAAGATGGACATTGATTTTTCTTTTTCACCATGGCGCTCATCAACTCCCGAGCGTCGACGACGCTTTGTAGAGGATGTATCTTCGAGATCTGAATTTTCCTCTGAAGCCACTCCTGCCACATCTTTCTTCCCATGCAGTGGTTCAACATCATTATCATTCTCCAAATCACTATATTCTTCTATTATTGGGACCTCGTAATAACCCTTCCAGCAATTAAAGGCTGCCAATTGAGCTTTTGCCAACACAAATGACAATCTATCAACCCCAGAATGTGGGGCTGCAGCTGCTGACTTCAGTGATCTAACAAGTTCGGCAGGGTTAAATGAGGTTTCATCTGAAAAATAGTAACCTCCAACTCTCATGCTTGATTCTGCCCTGATACCAGCATTCATAACAATCTGGGATTTCATTTTTGCTCGGGTCTCCTCCTGCAAACATGAGCAGGCCAGCCTAAACTGAACCCGTCGAGAGACGTCATCTAGAGCACAGCCCACGGCATGAGAAAAGCGTTCTGAGTTGCTCTGTTTCTCCATTTGAGAGAAGTACGTCCTAAATGGCTTAATGCGAGATGCTTCATTCCATGCAAATGTCTGGTCACCAAAATATGCTATCAGATAGCTGTCCTTTTTAAAGTATTTCATTGCTCTGTCTGATGCAGCAGAAGGCTCAAATATCTGTCCAGGCCACCACGGATGACTCCTCACCTTACCCCATACTAAATCAGACACATAAAATTTCCCTTCCTCTTCCATTCTGTCATTATCCCCTCGTCTTTCTGGAACTAGAGTATCAGGGCAAACACCTACACCATCTTCATTTTTCAACTCAACTTCTATCAGTTGTACTTCATTTAATCCGTCTTGATTCCCATCCATATCCACCACTTGAGAGTCACTGTAAACCGTTGTACAAACAAATTCATTGTTCCTAACTAATACGTCTCGCGTCTCACTTCCTTCGACTACATTCCCGTCTCCAGCAATATGCGAAAATCCCCCTTTATCAAGGACTTCGGCACACTTCACATTTGCTACATCTGTACTCACATTCACCCCCAGATCAACCAAAGGTTTAAAGTTAAGCCCATCATTTCCTAAAAATCCCATTTGACAATCGAGATCACCCGAATCCAAATCAATTTCCACATCTAAATCTTCCATTTGCAATCTTAAACCCTCACCAATCTCATTCCCTTCTCCAAAAACCCTAACCCCATCAACAACAGATTCACCAACTAAATGCTGATTACTTCGATTCTCAATTAGGGTTTCATTTCCTAATTGACCAACACTAACAACATTAATATCCTCGTTTTTCACCTCAACATTAACAACTCCGGAATTTAGGTCAGTAGGATCGTATTTTGCCGACATGAAGAAACCCTAATCAATACATAACACGTAATTACACACATGCATACATCAAAAGGAAAATGATAAAAAGAAAAACAATAACTACATGAATTAAAGCTGTTCAATTCAAATTTAAACACATGCAGAGAGATTTGAAGTGTTTACCTGGCGTAGATGCTTCGTCTGAAAGCTATGAAACCTCTGAATATTAATTTTAGATGGAGAAATGGATATATAGTGAGAGAAACTTCCAGAAAAATATGAGTATGAATTTTGTATTTCTATTTCAGTGAATCCTTTTATTTTTTAAAATTTTAGAGTGTATATATATTTTTGGGGAAAGGGGTAGGGTGGGGGAGTGGGGGTAAGAGTTTCAATTAGCGTGAAAATGTGTATAAGGACGGCCGATGTTTGATATAACACGTGTCATTACGACGTAGTTTAGTGTGTTTTTTTTAAACATAAATAAAAGCTTATATTACTTTAACAAAAGCATTACATAGTTCTAACATAGTCCCCAAGGACATTACTCTTGTTTATAGCAACGAAGCTATTACAAACACCGGCAGGTAAATACTTAGTATCATTACATAATCCTTGCTTGTTTATTTCTAATTCAGGTTCAACAAAAAGTGGTGGACGAGCAAGGTAAATACATTTTGTGGGCTTGAAGTGGCTTACAGCTTCCTTGGCTAGTTGATGTGCTACTCCATTTCCTTCTCTGAAGTTATGTCTGATTGTTGGGATTCTCAATTGGTGCATTAATGACCTGCAATTGAGCAAAGTGTTGTTAGCTAGGGGATTATCCTCATTTAACAATCTGATCATTTATGAGGAGTCTGTTTCGATCTCCAAGTGAGGGAACGTCATATCTAATGTTATATTTAATCCTTGCTCAATGCTAGTAGTTCCGCCTGCAAAGAAGTTGCTGCATAACATGATTTATAAAAGCCCACAATCCAGTCGCCTTTGTTATTTCTAAAGATCCTATGCCTGCATGCAAAATGGCTTTTAAGAAAGCACCATCAATATTAAGTTTGACTGTGTTGTGATGAGGCTTAATCCAACCAACGTCTATTTTGATTTTAGTTATTTGTAGAGGATTTCTTTCAGTGAAGAAATTGTACTCCCATGCGTGTTTGAGGACTATTGACACACATAGGTCTAGGTCTAGGTTATTATAATTATTATTGTTTCTATTTTTTCAAAGGTTCCATATGGCAAACGGGAAAATATTTTTCCATTAGTATACGTGGTTCCTACTTTGCAATGGAGATTTTTTTAGTTCGATTAGCCAGTGGGAGTCAATTGGCGAAGTTGAAAAATTTGATGATTTTTTGAAAAGTGTGACCGGGAATAAAAAATTTTATATCGGGGTCGAATTCTGATTTCAGAAGTTGAAATAGGTCCGTAATGTCAATTGTGACTTGTGTGCAAAATTTGAGGTCAATCGAACTTGATTTGATATGTTTCAGCGTCAAATGTAGAAGATAGAAATTCTAAAGTTCATTAGGCTTGAATCGATGTGCAATTTATTTTTTTAGCGTTGTTTGATGTAATTTAAAGGCTCGACTAAGTTCGTATGATGTTTTAGGACTGGTTGGTATATTTGATTGAGGTCCTGGGGGCCTCGGGTAGATTTCGGATGGTTAACAGATCAAAATTTGGACTTGAAGCAATTGCTGGGATTCTGCCTTCTGGTGCATTCGCACCTGCAGAATTTTGCTCGCAGGTGCGAGCTCGCAAAAGCGAGCGGGCGAGAGAGCGAGCGCATAAGCTGGGCTGAATAGGGTAGACAGTGATCACATGTGCGATGAGGAGCTCGCAGAAGCGGTATCGCTTCTGCGGAAGGATGACCGCAGAAGCAGACAAGAGCTTGGGAAACCGGTCCTCAGGAGCGGACGAGTTTGCGCAGATGCGCACCTGCAGAAGCATTTGGCCAGCGCCAGTGACTTTCCGCAGATGCAGATGGCTGACCGCAAAAGAGGCGTCGCAAAAGAGGAAGTGCTAGGCAGAATGGTTTAAAATCGAGGGTTTGCCATTTTCTTCATATTTTGAGATATAGAGCTCGGATTGAGGCGGAATTTTAAGGGATTTTCAGAGAAAATATTTGGGTAAGGATTCTACACTCATTTTTATTCAATGTCCACTAATATATCGTTAATTTTTTCATTTAATTAAGGATTTGGGTTGAGTAATTTGGGAAAAAGGTGGAAAATCCTTAGGCCGAATTTTGAGGTTTTGATCGAGATTTTTATATCGGATTTGAGTAATTTTGGTATGGGTGAACTTGATATCGAATGGGTGTTCATATTTTGTGACTTTTACCCGATTCTAAGACATGGACCCGGGTCGACTTTTTGGGGCAATTTTCTAATTTCTTGCTAAAGTCGTAGTTTCATTATTTAAATTAGTTTCTTATAGTCATATTTATAGTATGTAATTATTTTGGCTAGATTCGAGCCGTTTGGAGTCGGAAAATCGAGGAAAATGCATTCTATTTGACTGAATGAGCGAGATTTGAGGTAACTGACTTGTCTAACCTTGTGTGAGAGAAACTCTCCTTAGGTTTTGGTACTGTTATGGTATTTGCAATACGTGAAGGCCGTGTATGTGAGGTGACGAGTGCGTACTCAGGTTAAATATTGAAAGATTCAGTTCTTGCTGAGTAGTTTTTCTTTTAATTCCTTAACGGAGTTGCTCTAGCCTGTGTAGTCATCATGTTTAGCCTAATGTCGCATGTCTACGTGTCTTAACTCTTACTTACAATTTGTGCAACATGTTTAGTTGAATTACCTGCTTCCTTGATCTTATATTCAGTCTTTAACGGTAGGATTCCTTGTTGTAAATTCGTTGTTCCATAGGTTATGAGTTGTGTATTTACTTTTGGGACTACGAGGCGGTACCTCGGGAGCGCCTCTGTTGCATATTTACTTTTGGGACTATGAGGCGGTACCTCGGGAGCTCCCCTGTTGTGTATTTACTTTTGGGACTATGAGGCGGTACCTCGGGAGCTCCCCTGTTGTGTATTTACTTTTGAGACTACGAGGCGGTACCTCAGGAGCCACCCTGTTGTGTATTTACGTTTGGGACTATGAGGCGGTACCTCGGGAGCGCCCCTGTTGTTTACCTCTATTTGCTGTGTTGTTACCTTTCTGTAATTTCTCATTGTTAAATTCTCAGTCATTTTATTATATTATTATATCTTCTGCCTTGTTTTCTTTTTTATTCTAGTAGGGCCCTGACCTGACCTCGTCACTACTCTACCGAGATTAGGCTTGGCACTTATTGAGTACTGTTGTGGTGTACTCATACTAAACTTCTATACATCTTTTTGTGCAGAACCAGGTACTGCTTTCCAGACCAGGTACCAGTGAGCTAGCCCGTACGTGGAGACTTCAAGGTACATCTGCCAGCGTCCGCAGACCTTGGAGTACCCCTCTATCTTTTTTATGTTGCTTTCTTTATTTTCATTATACGCTAATGTTTAGAGACACTTAGCATTTTCTCTTTAATGTTTGTGACTTATATCTCACCAGGTTTTGGGATTTTATGTATTGAGTTTTGGTAGATTTCTTTTATGAAATGGTTGGGATATTCCCGTTTTAATCTCTTATTTAATGTTTTCGCATATTGTTTAGTCTTACCTAGTCTTAGAGACTAGGTGCCGTCACGATATACCACGGAGAGAAATTAGGGTCGTGACAAGTTGGTATTAGAGCCCTAGGTTCATAGGTGTTATGAGTCACAAGTAGGTTTAGTAGAGTCTCTCGGATCGGTACAAAGACGTATGTACTTATCTTTAGGAGGCTATGGAACTGTTAGAAAAAGTTTCACTTCCTTGATTTCCTCATCGTGCGATTTGATTCCTTTGGGACTTATGCTTTTATTTCCTTCCTACTCAATCTCATGTGACGTGAAGCGCTTGTTATCAATTGGGCATCAAAGAGTTGTAGTGGTACTGCATATATGGTGCAAGATATTTTCCTTACGTGTTCGAGTGGGCTATTATCGTCGCCTTGCGGAAGGATATTCTATCGTTTCAGTTCAGTATCTGTACTTCCTATGGTTTAAGGCTATACACAAATTGCTATGATGTTCATGTGTTATTATCGCACAGTGTTAGTGAAGTGGTAGGATGCTTGTCTATGTGTCGAGGCAATGAATGACTTGAAAAGAGGATTTCTCGGTGCATGATTTAGAAGTTCGACATTTAATTCCAGCGAAGGAAAGGAAATCAGACTATGGATGTTCAGGCATTGGTTGATGAAGTGACGAGACTTGATATTTTCGAGCGTGGTGGAATTCTCATTTATGATGTGGTATCGTCATCTTTGTTGGAACGCATTAAGGTTCGTCGGTGTTATAGTTTTCTTCGATTTGCCTTCGGGGCAGGACATTAGGAAGTGGCGCCTAAGACGCGGTTGTCAGAGATAGCGGAGTGTAGCGGTTTCAGAATCAAATTGGTGTTTCTAGTGTTGATAGCTCGAGAACGAAGATCTTCTAGGAGGTTGGGAGTTGGTAGCGATTTATCTGTTCAGGTGCTACAAGTATGGATTTAATTTGAGGAAACATTTGGGCAGCATAGTATGAGGGAGGACATGGCGGGAGGTGTCTCACGGTGGTTGAATTACTAGCAGGTCAAATATGAAAATCAGAGGTCAAGCAGTTACTTAAGAAGATGGTTTAACCGAATTGAGAGTGGCGGAGTAGAATGTAGATTCTGTGGTAGGGTAACCACATGCCTTGAGAAAGTTCAAAGCGATTTGGGAGTCATGGTGGAAAGTGACTAGGTCTACGGACCATATTTGAAATAGTGGCTACTGTACTGAGGACAATTGAATATGGCAGAAAGGAGTTTGCTTGAAATGAAGAGGGGTGTAAAAACTTGATTGTCGTGGAATGCAACATGACTTCGAGTTTAGAATGTATTGTCGGACTTTCAGTTGATGTCAATGGGGAAGGAACAAACTTGTATAGCTAGTGGATGAGCACGAGATCAGGAGGGTTTACTGATTTTGTGGTAGTTGTACCTAGTACAACGTCGTTAGGAGATGTCGGTATGGAATTCCACAGGTGGGCTATCTCTTGTGGACAGGTCAGCAGTTGTGTGATTTTGATGAAGTTTCTACTGAGAGTTCTACTTACTACAAAGCAGAAGGTCAAATTTGCGATTATGGCTGATAATTCGGAATGTTCATGAAAAGTTTAATAAGAAACTACAAAAAATTTGGCGGGTTGACGGTGCAAGATCATGGTAATTGATAAGGGGAAATCTTTATGG